CATCTGGTTTGGGCTGGGCTGTTGGAACACTTAGGATCTGTTGTATCAGCTGTTCTTTCCAGCTTTTATAGGATCTGTGATGATAGATTGAAAACTATAGGAGGGACCTGAAAACCAGCCAAGTATAACCTCGACTTACTGACAAGGAAACTAAGGCCCAGAAACTACAAGATGTATTCTTGTGGCCATGCAACTGCAAGTGCCCTTTAGCTTCTGGCCTCCTGACGTTTTTCTTCTTGCCTTCCAAAAAAATGTGCAGGTTTTATCCTCATTTGCATTCCAAAAAATGTGCAGCTTTTATCCTCATTTTTCAGTTGAAACTGAGGCTCAGAGAAGTCAGGTGACTCACATTCAAGAACTGAGATAGTAAATGGAAGGGCCAGGACTGAAATCCCGGTCTTCTGATTCTACTTCTCTCCCACTCAGCCTGTGAAAGGGTGAGGACCAGAGGAATCTGGCCAGAGCAGAGGGAACCTGCTACAAGTCCTCAAGCTTGGAGAACCAGTGAGGTTTTATATATCATCTGCCCATTTCCTTGTTTGACCCTCCTCAGATTGACCCTTCTCTGTTTTCATCAAAACTTCCTTTAATAGGACCCTAGGCTTTCCTGTTATCCTGTCTTTTTCATTGGAAGTGTCCTGGACATATTCAATATCCCCTTTCTGTACCTTTCTCACCTACCCTCCTCCATCTCTTGAAATCCCTGCTTTCCTCCAAGGCCTAACTCAGGTGCCACCTCTTTCATGGACCTTCCCTAATATCTACCCAAGAAAGGATTGTACTTCTGAAATTTGTCATTTCAGTTTACTTGTGTGTCTCCTTTATGCTTACTCACTTTACTTTTTTCTTATTTATAAATATTTTCCTTACCTTATGGGATTATGAGCACCTTGAGCAGTATTGGTGTCATGTCAATCTTTGACGTATTGTGTGTCCCTGATGGCAAGTACAGTCCCTTGAACATTATAAGCACTTAAATGTTTATTTGAATTGAAGTAGATGATGCTGAAAAAGTAAAGGCCTACAAAATGGCCCCAATTGACCTTTCCAGCATCTTATTCTGTTGTTTCCCTACGTGTACATTCTATCTCATCCAGACTTTTATTACTACACCCTTATGCATGCCATGCCCATTTTAGCTGCCATGCCCATTTTAGCCACCATACCTTTATCCTTTTGTTCAAATCCTCTCCATCCTTCAAAGCCTTGTTCAGATCTTACATCCTAAGGGAAGCCTTCCTTGACCACTTCACTCCATAGTGATTGGTCTCTCCTCTGAACTCTTGTAGCAGTTATTGTCCATACCACATATCTGACATTGTATCTTACCTTGTATTGTGAATTAATCTTTTTTTTTCTCAACTAGATTGTAAGCTCCTTGAGGTCATGAATTGTGCTCATTGTATCCTCTTCAGTGCCTGCCTCAGGGTCTTATGCATAGTAGGGTCTCGATATACGTTTGACTGATTTATACAACTTTTCCTTGAGAGACAGTTTGGGTTGGCAGAAAACACTGATCTTGTATTCAGAAGACCTGAGTTCAGGTCTCAGCATCAATACTTACTGTGTGACTCTGGGTAAGTCTCTTTAACTTTTCCTCAATTTTGTCATCTGTAAAGTGGAAAAAATATATTTCATTACTTCTATTAAAAGGTTGTTATGAAATAAATGCTTTTTAAATTTTAAAGTACTATATAAGTGAAGCTATAAGAGGTATTTTTCCTAACTTGAAGGATGAGTTCTCTATCCTATTCTGGGAAGCCAGTCCCTCTCCCCAAGCCTTATCATTTCTTGAGAGTCCTTATTTCCATCCCTGTCATCTTCCTCTCCCTCCCCACTGGCCCATTAGATTGCAGAAGTTATTATAGCTTAATCTAGCCCAAATCCCTTCATTTTTTCATCACAACTCTCAAGTATATAAGGCACACTGTGGCTTCATTTGCTCTCTACCAGTAGACTTGTGCCCCTTCAGTACTGCCCTCCTCAGCAGCTGTTCTCTGAGGACATAGTTGATGGCTTTTCTGGCCAAATTTGACTAGCTCTGCTGTATTAAAAAAAAAAATTCTCTACTCCCTCCAGTACTGGAGGCAAGATCTTGTTTTTGGTCAAAGGCCAATGGAAGACTCACAGAACAGAGTGAATACAATGAGATCATTAAATGAGAAGATCTGAACAACCAAGTTAGTATGAGTTGAGTGTAAGAATAGGGTCCTCATAAAAGGAATCACCAGTGTTATCAGCCTAGTAGTTCAGTGCAGTAACTATTGAGTACCTTCTTTGTGTCGGCTCTGTAGCTTTTTAGTCTAGTATCGTTTTGATTTTTGAAGCAGTTGGTGTGAGTCGATTCTAGTACTTACGTATGTCTTTTTGTACACCAGTAAATAACTTACCTTTTACACTGTTGTTTTAGAGTAGATATTAGTTACAGTTACTTCTATCGCAGCTAAGGAGACAGGGCAGCTGAGCTGTGATAGTAAAGCAGCAGCTGCCTCCAGTAACCTGGAGAAGGGCACTAGCCTCTCCTATTCTAAGGCTAGTTGTAGATATCTTAAAAAATCAGAGTCTGGACCTCTGGGCTGGTGTTCCTTAAACTGTCCACTGAGGACAGGGGAAATAGAAAATAAACCAGATGAGACTTCTTACTGGCAAAGCATAACCTATATGTCTTTGTGTCCCCCATATTGTATGTCCCTTTGGGTACACACACATTGGGCTGTATGTACTAGCTGCCTGAAGTTGTAGACTTTGTGCACATGTGGGCACTGAGTCACAAAGTCGGTGTTAGCTATGGTCCTGACAGTGCGTTTTGGGTTCTTCCCTATTTGCTTGGAAGTGCCTTGTCACACCTGGGACTGTGCTAAATAGCAGTTACTGAATCCTGATAGATTTTTTGCTGTGGTTCCACACATGTAGGGCAGATAAGGTGTTCCTTAGGCACAGTAGAATCCACAATTACAGGTTCACTGTGTCAGGGGAATTGGGTGACCTACCCAATAGTCCCCTCTCCTTTACAGTCTTCCTAGGTTTGTCTTAAAGGCAGGTATATCTGACATTAAGCAAATGTGTTATACAGAAATCTAAACTCAGAAATGGATACAATAAGGGACAGTTGCTTGCATTACTACACTATTCCTTGCTTGGCAAAATAACTTTCCCACCATGATGTTCCTTTGTATAACAAGCCCCTTGAACAGTTTCAAAATAGGACTTGGATTTATAAAAATTCAGTCTATACCTAGCTTCTCACAACTGTGTATTTCAGAAAACATTGTATTTTCCTCATATTCTCTGTGTACGGGTATTATCCATTTCAAGACTTTCTGAAAATTTTAAACTAATTAGTATCCTTACAGTGGTGATTAAAATGAATTCTTGGGACAGCTTGATGGCTGAGCCTGACTATTTGAAAAGAACTGGGGTTTCCATGAACCACTAGGAGCACAAAATTGGGTCAGTCTTGCTATAATTGGAAGGAGTCATTCCCATTCCTAGCGCTGGAACCGTGAGTGTTGACCAATAGCCCAAAGAGGATTGGACTTTGGTGATGTGTGGGTTATACTCGGATAGTCGCCAGTGGACTCTGATGGACATTGTCCTTTAATTCTCAGAGGCTCAGAGAGTAGTGTGGAGAATACATGAAATTATAGTGCTTGTCTGGAGCCAGCTGCTTGGGTGTGGATGATCTCATCTCTCCAACTGATATAAAGAATAGTTATCTCTGTATTTTATTCTCTTATTAGACTGTGAGCTCCATGAGGGCAGGAATTATTTCATGTAAACATAGCTGCCCCAGTGCCAAGTGCAGTAGATCCTTAATAAATGCTTTTTGAATGAATGTTTGTTGAATGGAAGAGATTTGTCATTTTAATTTGATTATGATTTTTGTTTTTTGATTCAGTGTAGTTGGTTTTCCATCATTGCTTCCTAGTAAGTGCTGTTCGTGTTTGTTCGGCATTTCCAGCATCAGTATCCATGTGGCTAGGTTAGGCCTTGGAAGCAGGAGTGAAAAGCAGACATTAGGAAATGAGGGTGTATTATATGGATATTAGAAAGCCCCCAAATTTCAGAAACTAGTTGCCTCCATTTTTCGGGACATGAAATTTTACTCATCGTTACTATACCAGGTCACTTGGTTCCTGGTTCTCCTGGAACTTTGGAGCTCAATTTTGTCCTACTTTGGCTGGTGGATAGCCCCCAGTGCAGGCTTTCACAAACTGGGCTGATGATACCAGCCTATGAGAAGACCTAGGCCTCTAAGGGAAAGAAGAGAGGAACAGAAACATGAGGTGGCAGCCAGTGACCAAAAATTGCCTCTCACACATAGGACAAAGGGGGATCATTTGCCAGTCCTTTCCACGCTAACCTGTTGCTATGTCAGGCACCAGCCAATAGGCTGGATATTATTGGAAAAGATACTTGCTGAGTAGGGTAAATAGATAATAGATACAATAATCAGTGCTCAATTAGCAAAATTTTTGTCTCATATTGGGAGAGAGGTTGGGATGGAATTAGGTGGGTTATGTGCAAGGATTTAACAGTACAAACTTGTAAATTAGAATATGACATATTCCTGCGGGAGCAATTAACTAGCTAACCAAGGTCTTAAATTTCTGACTTGCCTCTGAGAACTCATGTGACCTCAGCCAGACTTTTCCCTGCACCCCCAGATATTTCTTACACAAACTCATGTCTCCTCTGTCTTGAGAAATTTGCAGAGCCTAGCAGTTTAGCATTTATTGATGTTTCTGCACACACACACAGACACACACACACTTCATTTGAGAACTGAGATGGGGGCTAGTATTTTTTTTTATAACTGCCCCCCCTTCAGAACTTTAAGACATGAGAGGATATAGGGGGCGGGAAAGGAGGAGAAGGAGAGTTGTTGTTCTTGGTGTCTCCAAATCCTCTGAAGGGAATGGAAATGTTAGCATGAGTTATTGGAGGAATCTCAAACTATTAAGACTGATTTTACTCATGGTAACTTTCTCCTCTCTCAGCTTCTGCTCATCTTGGGCCTACCCTTTTCCTAGAGGGAAGTCCAAGAGACCAGGTGATGGCAGCTACTACAATCTTCCCCACAGCCAGGCCCCAGGTGAGCTGTCCTTCCCGAGATGTTACAGCTGTTTCCTGAGTGTGGCCCCAGCTCCTTCAGCTTTGAGCTTCTCTGCTCAACAAATCTCAGGGCTCAAGCTCTAAGTACTTTATGTAATGAGTGATGGGATTGGAGTCAGAAAGACCTGAGTTCAAATGTGGCCTCACATACTTAACTAGCTGTGTGACCCTGGGCAAGTCATAACCTCTGTATGCCTTAGTTTCCTCATTAAAAAAATGTTTATAATAAACCTTAACTTGTGGGGTGATTGTGAAGATAAAATGAGATATTTTTAAAGTTCTTTGCTAACCTTAAAGCATATTTATAAACATGCTAGCAGATACTACTATTTAGTATCTGCTGCTGTTGCTACTACTGTTCGTCCTCTTCCTCCTCCTCGTGCTGATGAGACTGGGACTGTCTTGATATCCAGAGTTCCAGCTCTGGGCTGTGATAATCCTGTGTATCCTGTGTATCCTGTGATATTAGCACACATCCCTCCATTCAGTTTCTTTCTGTGTGAAATAAGGTTAGATTAGAGGATCCCATAAGGCCTTAGAATATAAAAGGCCCCTTCTAATATTAAAATTTATGAATGTAAGAGGAACTTCATATGGATAACTTCTTGGTGTCTCGGTGACTTCCCTCCTTGCACCATGACTCTACATTCTGATATCTTCCCCTAGTCTCCCTTTGTATAGTTATAGATGGGGAGTGGGTGGTGGGTAAAAACCTTATTGCCTGACTTCAGAATCTGATATCTGACATGTTTTAATAACCTAGCAGTAGGAAGTAGATTAAGCACAGATTCAGTATATTAGGGATAACTCAACTAGCTGTGTGGCTCCGGGCAAGTCACTTAACCCCAATTACCTCACCCAAAAAAACAAAACAAAATGAAACTAATATATTGGGGATAAACTGAGATCATCTGGCTTAAGAGTTGTACCAGGTCAAACTTAAATCCATTCAACACATTTATATTGTACTTTCTAGTCACAAAACACACACACACACATACATGTATATGTATATATACATAATATATATATAGAATATCTGAAATATATACAATAATTATATGTAATTGTATATGTTTTATATTATATGTAAATATATACACATTTTATATAAATATATATGCATATATTTATGTATAAATTTATACATAAAAGGTACAGGAGATTCATGGGGAATATATATTATGTGTTATATATACACACATATGTACACATGTGCATGTGTGCATTCCCCCATGATTCTCCTATAACTTTTTTTAAGATTAATGGTTTTGTCTTGTGAATGACTTCCTCCCAACCTAGAACATTGCTCCTTGGTAGTTGATTTCCATGGATTGCTGCTGCAGAAAAGGTTGAGACTCTGGTGGCTAGCATTTGCATGAAGAGCTTTTCCAGATTTAGCTAAATTGGTCATTATATGGCAGACATACAGTCTGTCTCCAGGCCTGTTCCTGACCCCTTACCAGCTTGGTATAAGTTGTCATAATTTAAACTCTGCTGGAATATCCTCTGAGAACCTAGGAGTGGGTATTTAGTATAGCTACAAGGACCTGTGAAGTACCCTTATTGCCATTATAGGACTGAGGCCCAGGTTAAATGACTTGCCCAAAATTACATGTCTAGTTCCTGACTCTAAGCCTGGTGCTCTTTCCATTATAGCATGTTGCCTCTTTAGCTCAACAGGAAACTCAAAGTAGTCATGGTTTTTCCACTGTATTATTAACTATGAATTTCAGATTTTGGCTGTTGCCCCCAGAGAATTGTGTATAGCTGGATTCTACATAATAATCCATTGTTATTTTTAAACACATTAATTCATTTGTTCCTTCATAAAGAATATCCTCCTATCCGCACTTGATAGGTAGTAAAGCTGAGGAGGAGAGAGGGGTTGCCTAAGATAACTCAATGGATGACATTTCCAAACTTAGGAGACTTAATTACCAGTGTTTTCTGGAGCTCTGGAGGATTTGAGGAAAGGGAAGTGCTGGGATCTTTTTACCGGGCTCCTCGGTGCTTGCTTGGGGTGTTTGTTTTCTCTTGGTTATTAGTAAACTGGGAAGAGGTCAAAATGGGTTTCAATCTCATGTCATCTATGCAGGTCTTCCCACCACATAGACAAATACATGGAGAACCTTTTGCACCATCAGATTCCTTCTCTATTCTTTCTTTCTGATGCTACCACCGTGGTGCAGGGGGAAAAAGCACTAGATGTGGAGTCAAATTACCTGGGTTCAAATCTCAGCTCTGCCACATTATTAGGGTATATGATCATAGACAGGTTATTTCAACTCCCCTGGGTCAGAATTTCCTCTTTTGTAAAATGGGGATGTTGGGTGAGATGAATTCTAAGGTCCTTTCTAGCTCAAAGTCATATGATCCTATGAACGCCTATGAATCCTTTCCTTTCTCTCCCACTCTTGCCTTATATGGCATTGTCCTAGCAGGAACGTGTTGTTTCAGGGGTTGCTGAACTTTGAAGATGTGGCAGTAACTTTCAATCAGGAGGAGTGGGGGTATCTGAACCCTGCCCAGAGGAGCCTGTACAGGGATGTGATGCTGGAGAATTTTGGGAACATGGTCTTGTTGGGTAAGGATTCTCCCAACTCCCTGCCCCACTGACTCAGATTCTGCTCATGGTGGCCTACCCATGATAATAGATGTGGAAACTCCAGAAGCCGCCATTGAGTTTTGTCAAGGGTGGAAATTGCTAACCTTCTTTTATCCCAGACATGTGTGTGTTTCTAAGGGGCAGGTCTCTGTTGAGGGGAATGATTAGTTCCTTAATATTTGAAGCTGTTGAGTGGGGGTTAACCTGGGGTCTGTGGCTTTGTTATTTAAAATACTTTGATAACTGCATTTCAAAAGAGTCATTCTCCTTTGTAATCCTATGTACTTTATTTTATGAATTTAAAAACATAATTTTGAGAAGAAGTCCATAGGCTTCACCACAGTGCCCAAGGGGTCCATGACCCATAAAAGGTGAAGAAAGCCCTGCCCTAGAGGTAGCATGGCAGGTAGAGTATTGGACTTGGGACTGAAGACTTGGGTTTGAATTCTGGCCCTGCTGTTCACTAGTTATATGATCTGGAACAAGTCATTTAACCACTATGATCCTTAATTTCTTCATCTGTAAAACAGGAATAAAAGTTCTTACACTTTCAGTTGCACCAGGTTATTGTGAGGCTCTTATGAGGTAAAGCCCAATAGATATGGAATACTGCTTTCCTGCCTTCATGTCCAAAGCTCTTTCTACTGTGTCATACAAACCAAGGGTGTTCCCTGCTCTTTTTAAAGAGCATATCCCTGAGGCCTAAGAATGTGTTCACCCCTGTTGTTACTAAGTATGTGGTATTAAAAGGGGAAAAATCAGAATTAAACATTTTAAAATAATAATAATAATAACAATCTCCCATTTCTATAGTGCTTTAAGGTGTAGAAAACATTTTTTTCCTACAGCAGCCCTGTGAGATAAGTGGAGTACAATTATTATCCTCATTTACATGTAAGGAATTTGAAACTCAAGGTAAAGTAACTTGTCCCAGGTCTTGTAGCTAGGAGGCATCCTATCTAGGATTCAAACCCAGGCCTACCAACTCCAAGCCCAATGTTTGTTCCACTCTACCATACACAAAAATAGAATCCTAGAGGGAGATTCTAGTTGTGGTCAACGGCACGTAGACATGGCAAATCCAGGACTTGATGCTGGGTGTTCAGATCTCTTGGCACTCTAGAATCATAGAATCTTAGCAGATTTAGAGTGGTAAGGGTCCTTAGAGACCCTTCAGTTTGTAGAAGCTTGATGGTTTCTTGAACCCCAGTAATAAATGACAGATTTGGTATTCGAACACAAGTGCTTAAATTCTAAATCCAACAGTCTTTCTACTGTGCTGCCTCTCCATTATCTAATCAATGCTTCTCCCAATCCTAGAAAAAAATATATATATATATATATATATAAAAATAGAAATTGTCAAAACTCTCAAGTTTCACTTGTAGAAACCTCCTTGGCCTGACTGGTTATCTTTTTCAAGACTTCCTTACTCTGTCCATCTTTCCTTACAGACTGGGGTGGGGGGTGGGGAGTGGGGGATGGCTGGGGATTACAACAAGGGGAAGCTGAGTTCTCCATGTACACCACCCCTTCCCATTTCCTTCCCGTGACCAGGGCTCCCCATCTCCAAACCTGACTAGATCTGCATGTTGGAGCGAGGGGAAGAACCGTGGGGCCTGGATCCATGGGGAACTGAAGAAAGAAAATTCCAAGGGGGTGAGTGAAGTTTCTGGCCTAGTCAGTCAGACTGGAGTCAAGGTGAAGGAACAGCCAAGTTCCTTGGGTCATGAGCTCCCATGTTTGAGGTTTGGACAGCTATCCAGGGCAACCTCATTGGCCGACGTGGGTCTGATTGATAATAGTAAGTGGCACTTATTTGGCACTTTAGGTTGGCAGAATGCTTTCTGTACATTATTTCATTTGATCCTCACAGCCATGTGACAAGGTCAGTTCTGTAGTAGTGATTATCCCCATTTTACAAACGACAAAACTGAAGCCAAGGGAAGTGAAATGACTTGGCCAGGGTTTCATAATTAGTTGTGTGAGAAGGATTCAGGGCTCGGGGCTTCTGGTGAAGTTTGGAAATGAAGAAGGGGGAGCTCATAGTAGAGGGAATGTTATTCACTTTGTGTTTTGCCTGAAGACCTCCAGCGAAGGAGAATCCATTGCCTACCAAATCATCCTCCCATTTTTAGGAAGCTGTAATTATTTGGAAGTTTTTCTTTTATTAAGCCTAAAACTACCTCTCTGCAACCCCTACTCATTGTTCCTTATTCTGCCCTTGGTGAACAAAACAATTGGTATTCCTTTTCCATGTCCCCCTATTAAGTCCTGTCTTCTCCGGACTGAACATTTCCAGTGTCTTCAGGCAATTATGTGGCAGGAACTCAAGACCTCTCACCATGCCTGTGTCTTCTGGAGGCTGAGCCTGCAGTTGTGCTGGGACCAGGACAGAAGATACCACGGGGGCTGCCTCCCTCGTCTCTGTTGCCATGCTGCCCGAGATCCCAACAGCTTTTATCATCCTGTCCTTCCCCTCAGGTCCCATTTGCAGCCTCCTTCTGACATAGAAGTCGTGAGCTGGGGGAGGAATGGTCAGTCACCTATCTACAGCATCTTAAGGTTTATGAAACACTTTCCTCGTAACTATCCCATATGCTTTCGAGTGCATACTTATGAGACTCCATGTTATAGGTTATGAATCTGCGTCTTCAAGCTGTTAAGTCAGCCAGGTTAGGGAGTTGGGATTCAAATTCAGGTCCTCTGACCCCCAAATCCAGGGCTATTTGCACTGTATAACACTTCCTCTTCCACACAGGGCTATTTTTTTTAATCTTTAAAAAAAAATGTAGAGTTCTTTCAAATAATATTCTTGACTTAAAATATAGTCAAAAAAAGTAATCTAGGCAGAGTGGTGCATTCCTATGATCCCTTTCTTGAAGGAGCTCACATGATATATGCATTAGAGAGTTGGAAAATCTGCTGCTTTTTGTTCTAATACTGATTGGGGAGATCAGTAAAAGTGTCATATAGGAGGTGGTATATCAGTTACACTTTACAAGCAGATAGCATTCATTCAACAAATAAGAAAGGTAAGTGAGGCTATTCTGGACATAGGGAATAACATGAACAAAAACATCAAGGTGGGAGAATTCGGGGTCTATTCTAGAAGCAAAGTATAATCTGGGTTGGGAGGTACATAGATTATATAGAGAGAAGTACTATAAGATAAATCTGGAAAGACTGGATAATTAACAATGTAAATAGCCTTTAATATTAGGGGAAAGAGTCTGAACTTAAGCAGTATAGAGCCAGTGAAGAATTTTGAGCAGAGAAATGATGTGACCATTTTTCTGCATATGAAAGATTATGAGTAAATTATATGTATGTATGGATTGGAAGAGAGAAGAGAGTAGAAGCAGGAAAACCTGTTCACAGGCTATTGTAATACCTTAGATAGACAGTAATTTGAGTTGTGGTAATGGGACTAGAGAAGAGAGGGTGTGGTTGCAAGAGAGATTGTGGAGGTAAAATGTCTAACTTGGGGCAACTGGCTAGATCTAACAGGTGAGGGAGGGAGAAACATTTAAAAAAAAAGCCCAAAGTTTTTGAATGTGGGAGAAGGAGGATGGTGGTGCTGCAGACAGAAATAATGATGTTATAATAGGTTTCAGGCTTAGGAAAAACTATAGAATAAGCATAGTTTGGGCAGTACTGACTTTGAGTTGCCAGATGGAGATGGACTTCTATGGCTGGAGCTCTGGAGAGAGGACGAGTGAATACAGAGACAGCAGTCATCTGCCTAAAGGTGGTGCTTGTTTTGTTGGAGTGAATAGGATGGCCAAGGAAGAGACCGTGAAAGAGATGACTGAAGACAGGACCTTGAGGAACATACACATTAAGGAGTGAGGAAAAAGACGAAGAACCACATAAGCAGAGAAGTAATCTGTTAGAGAGAAAAGAGAAGCAGGAGCATCCGGTGTTTCTGTGGTCAGTGGAAGATAAGAGGTGATGGTTAACGGTATCGGAGACTTCAGAGAAATCAAGGAGGAGGAGAACCGCAAATTGAATTTAACAGTGAACAAATCACTGGCGACCGTTAAGAGGAGTTTCAGTAGATGTTTGGAATGGACATCACATTGCTAGGGTTTGGGGAGACGGATGATAAAGAAATTGAGACGCTGTGTTGAGGCAACTTCAAGAAGTTTAGCGGTGGAGGGCAGGAGAGGGGTGGGTTGGTAGCTTTATGGATAGAAAAGATAGAGGAAAGCCTTGTTAGAGCTGAGGACACTTGAGCATGTTTGTAGGCAGAGGAGATCAAGACAAAAAAAGAACGCTAGAAATGAGAAGGTAGGAGAAAGGGAGAAGAGCCCTCTGCATGCTCTGTGCTGACCATTCCCTTTCACCTCACTTCCCTTCCACCACTTGCATCCCCAAATTGCATTCTTTCCCTTCCTTTCCCATCCTCTCCTCAGACTGTCAGGCCTTTTTTGAGAACCATTGATGCGCAGATTATTATTAACATGATATTTCCTATTGTTGATACTAGCTAGCCCTGCTTCAGCAGTTTCCTCAGCCTCAGAACAGGGCACAGCTGACATCTGTGTATTGTTTTTGTATTTTCAGATTGTGAAGCCAGGACTGAGAACAAGGAGTTGATATTAAAACAGGAAATTTCTGAAGAAGTTGACTCAAAAGGAGAAATATTAGAAATACTTTTAGGTGGGGTTCCTCAGGATCTACTGCTTGAAGAATCCTGTGAACTTGAGGACCGTTTAGAGAGGCAGATGGAAAATCTGGTTGGGGAGAGAGAGGGCACTTTCCTGCACCAGCAGAGACGTTCAAAACAAATGACAGTTGCCTACCAGGAAACTCCAAGAGAAGACAGTGACCATGTAGTGACATATCACAGGTCTCCTACAGGAGAGAGACCTTACAAATGTGATACGTGTGGCCAAGGCTTCAAACGCAGTTCTGATCTTATTAAACATGAGAAAATGCATAGTGGGGAAAAGCCCTATGAATGTAATGAATGTGGGAAAGCCTTTAGTTGGAGTTCAGCCCTTATTCAGCACCAGAGAATTCACACTGGAGAGAAACCTTATGAGTGTAAGGAATGTGGGAAAGCCTTTGGGTGGAGCTCGGAGCTTATTCGACACCAGAGAATTCACACTGGAGAGCGGCCCTATGAGTGTAGCGAATGTGGGAAAGCTTTTGTTAGAAGCTCAGCTCTCATTCAACATCAGCGGATACATACTGGTGAGAAGCCCTATGAATGTAATGTTTGTGGGAAAACCTTCCGTCACAGGCCAACACTTGTTTACCATCAGGGAATTCATACTGGGGAGAAACCCTATGGGTGTAGTGTATGTGGGAAAGCCTTTACCCAGAGCACTACCCTTATTGAACATAGAAGAATTCACACTGGAGAGAAGCCCTATGAATGTAATGAGTGTGGAAAAGCCTTCAGTAGGAACTCAGCCCTTATTCAACACCAGCTAATTCATACTGGAGAGAAACCTCATAAGTGTAATGATTGTGGGAAAGCTTTCCGTCACAGATCAGCTCTTATTTATCATCAGAATTCATACTGGCAAGGAACTCTTTGGATGTAATGGAAATTTGAAAGCCTTTAGCCAATTTCTTCTATGTTATCACCACTTATCTCATATTTTATAACTGTGGAGAATTCATACCACTGGGAAATCCAACCTACAGGAAGCACTAGGAATGCCTTTCAATACAGGTCAATTGCTGTCATTGAAATTCATCATTGTAAATTAGATGTTTCCATCACAGTAAAGGGATTTGGGTGTTAGAGTTTGCCTAAAACATACTTTAGTCCTTCAATAAGCAGTGCCTCGTTTAGGTAGCTACGAGGCTTTCCAGGTCCTTTTTCTAGTTTTTCCCTGCTCTATCCTCACTTAGAAGGTTATAGTGTTAATGACCACTTTTTTAATATTTACTTGGAACAACTCTGTTTTAACCATTCCCCAAGTTTTCTTGACCTGATGCATTTCACGTGTCTTCCAAAGCGACGAGATTTTGTGCAGAGTTTGGTTCTCTGTTCTTCCTTTTCTTTGTTTTTACGGTTATTAGTTTCTTTTTAGAAACCTGTGGTTTGTCCTCTTCCCCTAATTTGCCAGTTTTCTAAACTAGACATTCTTTTTGGAATGACACATTGAATCAGCACTTTACAATCTGACTTCTTAAAGAAGCCAGTCTGTTTGTTTGTTTTTTAACAAAACCAATCACAATTTAAATAAAGCTAAACCATCAGATGCTTCAGATATATTAGAAAAGTAAAACAAATGTCTTCTTGTTTGTGGATAAGGGAATCCCTTAGTAAAAGCACAGATCTTGACCAACATCTGAAAAGTCACGCCACACAGACGTGAATGGAATTAATTTGTGAGTCTTGTAGCTCTAAGAATTCACATTGAGCCAACACCATGAACAACTATAACAACTGTAAGCTCACAAGCAGGGCAAGTGAGCCCTGTGGAGCCCCAAATTCAGTATCACATGCGAATAAAACTACTGATTAATGTTTGTTGATTGGCTGTCTGAAAAAAAAAATTCTTTGATAATGTTTTTATGTTACCCTTATAGAGCAACAGCCAAGGGAAAGCTTTAGAAATTAGAATTCACCCCCACCAAATCTTTCTCCATTGGGAAAATAGGGCAGGGCAGAATAACTTGACTTTACAGTTCCTACTCAGAGGGACTGTGAGTGCTGGCAGTTCCTTATGATCTGAAAGGAGGCTGATGCCTGGAACAAGGACTTAATACTTAATGTCTGTTTGAGGAATGAGATGATGAACTTTGATAAGTAGAAGTCCAAGTGCAGGTGACCTCCAGGCAACTATGAGAGATATACCAGCCTGGGAAGGTTAGGACTGGAGATAGAAATTTGGGAGCCATCCACAAATGGAATAAGGTTAAGTATTCCAAAGTTTTGTGCCACCATTTAACTGCAGTCAGGCTGTATCTGAGAGAGAGATTGTTAGCATTCCTGTGGGGAGCATACACATTCGGTACAGTAATGTTCCTGAAGGTTTAAGATTCTGCAGATGGGTGGAATATTCCTAATTTTTGGTGTTTAGCTCTTGTTTCTGAACTCCAGAAATGAAGACATTTGGGTTTAATTGCACTAGGTTAAAACCATAGTGATAAATGTAAGGCCAGCTGGAGAAGGGGGTGAGGGAGAAAAGGAAACCTGCTGTAACTGTCACTGTTTGATATATGATTAACAATAAAATATCTTGTGATATGTGTGATGTGATGTAGTGTGTATCAGAATTGTGATTTTGTTCTTAACTCACTCTGAGGGTGAACCACTGAATCAATAGGGTGGACATCTAATACAGCAGCAAACTTATTGAGGAAAGAGTATTTGTGAATTACTCTAGACATACAGCATGGTATGTTAGAAAGATTGGGAACTAGGGAACCCAGACTCCAGTCCTGGTTTTGCCACTACTTATATGACTTTGGGAAGTCACTTAACCTCTTGGCCTCAGTTTTCTCATTTGTGAAATGAGAATAGATTGGAGTAGATGATCCTTAAGGACCCCTAAAAGTTCTAAAAAGACTTCTGGCCTGCTTTTGGATCAGACTTGCCATATATGACTGAACTGAGTTTGTGTTGATTAGACTGGGAAAGAACATTTATTTTCTCCCCTTTTCTCCTTCCCTTCACCTTGATCAGCTTCACTGATCTTGTAAGGAATGTGGTGATGCCTGCAGTGGGGAATTTTGTTCCTTCCCTTTTCTTATAACTGTGATGTCACCAAGAGGAGCTGGCCAAGCTACATTCCAGGGAAAGTTACTTATTGCTGGTACCTGTCTCCATACTCCCATCCCTGTCCAGCTCAGCCCTACTAAATCACAGAATCTCAGAGTTGGAAAAGACCTCAGGGGCCCTCTAATCCCACTCGTATGTGAATCAGTATACCTTCTTAAATATCCCCAATAAGTGATCATTCTGTCTCTGTTTGAGTCATCTCCTGAGGCAGTCAGTTCATCTTTGAGTCAGTTTGCTCCTACATGGAGCCTAAATATGCCTCTGCAAATGTAATCCTATTTGTAGTTCTGCCATCTGGGACTAAGCAAAAGAAGTTCAGTCTTACCCATGACCTTTTCCCTCTATACTCTCCCAGTGACCTCATCAATTCCTACTTGTTCAAAGTCACCTCTATGAGCATGACTCCTAGATCTGTATATCCAGCCCTAGTCTCTCTCTTGAACTACAGTTCCACATCCATCGCCTAATGAACATTTCCAACTAGGTGTTCTGTAGGTATCTTAAACCTAACATGTCCAAAACATAATTCATTTTCTTTTCCCTCAAAACCATCCCTTTTTCCTTTCTTATTTCTGTTGAGGATATCACCATCCCTATTTCTACTCACCCAGTTCACAACCTCAGTCATCCTCATTGTTATGCTTTTCTAATTAATTTCCATCTTATTATTTCTACTTCTACATCTCTTGCATCTCTCCCTTTCTCTCCACTTATTTGGTTCCTACCCTAAAACAAGCTCTCATCATCTTCCACCTGGACTATTACAGTAGCCTCCTAATTGACCTCCATGCATTCAGGCTCTTCCCCCACCAAAGCAACCTTCACTTGACTACTAAATTGAGGAAGATCTCAGGAAGTTTGAAGAATGTGACACAGAGAAGGGAAGGCCTACTGTACATCTAGAGTTAAATAAGAAGTATGAGGCTCTTCTCAAAAAGGATGGAGTTTAACTCTCTGAGAAGGATGCATCTCATTCTTCTGCCCCATGCAATGATAAAGGGATCCATACATACCACCAACAGGGAAGTCAGAAAAAAAGAGTAGTACACTGACAGCCATATTTCAAGATGGGGAAAGGGAGGACAGTTTCTAGAGAATTGCAAGCACAATTTGAGTTTTGTGACATAGCAGTAAAAAAAAGAAAGAAAAACCAAACTGATCTTAAGTTGCATTAAGAAAATAGTCTCCAGAATGAGGGAGGTGATAATCCCACTGCTTTTTGCTTTGGTCTAACCAAATCTGAAATATTACGTTCCATTTTGCACATAATAGGAAGGACACTGTAAAGGTGGGGGGCTATTGTGAGGCCAACTAGGATGAGACCTTGCCATCCAAGGATTGATTTAAAAAAAAAAAACATGTTTAGACTGGGGAAAATTCAAAAGGGAAATAGTAACTTTCTTCTAGGTATCTTACCCCTCTCAGTATCGTATCATATCTTAAGAATTATCATCTAAAATAGGGATCAGAATTACTCTGTTTGATGCCAGAGGATTGAATGAGGGAAAATAAGTGGGAAATTGCAGAGGCAGGTGAGGCTTGATGTAAGGGAAAACCTTCTAGTTAGAGCTATAAAAAGTGGAATGGGTTACTTTGAAAGGTATTTGGTTCTCCCCCCCACCCACCCCCCCATTTAAGGTTTTAAAGGCTAAATGACCACATGCTTATGCTCTGCTGGACTAGCTGGATTCTGAGGGCCTTTCCAACTCCGTGATTCTGTGACCATACACAAAGTACAATCATTAATAGATGCATGTCAACTTTGACAAAGGAGTAGGATGAAAGTGTGGAAAGGACACTGGATATAGAGTCAGAGGACCTTGATTCTAATCCAAAATAAGAGACAGACTTATTGTCCTTTGCCCTGGTCAGATCACATCTTAAATATCGTTTGGTTATGAGCACCATGTTTTAGGAATGATGCTAAGTTGGAGAGCATCCCCAGTAGGGTAACCAGGGTGTTGAGAGGATGGGAGACTGTGGCATCAGAGTACGGTGAAAGGAATCAGAAATCTTTAGTTTGAGAAGTGATAACTTCAGTAAAGTACCATATCATAGCTGTCTTCAAGTACTGGAAGGATATCATGGGTACGGCTGAACTTCTTTTGCTTAGTCCCAGATGGCAGAACTACAAATAGGATTACATTTGCAGAGGCATATTTAGGCTCCATGTAGGAGCAAACTGACTCAAAGATGAACTGACTGCCTCAGGAGATGACTCAAACAGAAACAGAATGATCACTTATTGGGGATATTTAAGAGGGTATACTGATTCACATACGAGTGGGATTAGAGGGCCCCTGAGGTCTTTCCCAACTCTGAGATTCTGTGATTTGGTAGGGCTGAGCTGGACAGGGATGGGAGTATGGAGACAGGTACCAGCAATAAGCAACTTTCCCTGGAATGTAGCTTGACTGGCTCCTCTTGGTGACATCACAGTTATAAGAAAAGGGAAGGAACAAAATTCCCCACTGCAGGCATCACCATATTCCTTACAAGATCAATGAAGCTGATCAAGGTGAAGGGAAGGAGAAAAGGGGAGAAAATAAATGTTCTTTCCCAGTCTAATCAGCACAAACTCAGTTCAGTCATACATGGTAAGTTGGATCCAAAAGAGTGCCTATGATGTTCCCCAACATACACTGAAGCCTGGCAGAGGGGGAGAGTGGAACCTCAGTGACACTCCAGAAAAGGAGACTAAGAAATGATGAGATAAGTAGAAAAACCAAGAGAGAGCAGTGTCATGAAAACCCAGAAAAGAGGTTATTCAGGAGGAAGGGATAGTCAGCAGTGTCAAATGCTTCAGAGAGGTCAAGTAAGATGAGAACCAAGAAGAGGTCATTGGGTTTGGCTATTAAGAGACCATTGGTAACCTTGGACAGGCACTTTCCTTTGAACAATGAGGTTAGAAGACAGATAACAAAGTGTTGAGGAATGTGGGAGAGGAGAAGAAGTAAAGGCAGCAAGTACAGATGACTTTTTGTAGGAGTTTTGCTATGGAAGGGAAAAGCAATATTTGATGATAAGTTTGAAGGAATAGTTGGGTCAAGTATTTTTTTAAAGTTTGGGGGAGACTTGGGCATGTTTGAAGGTGGTAGGGAAGAAGCTAGTAGAAAAGGAGAGGTTGAAGATTAAGGAGAGAGTGGGGAATGATCTGGAGAAGATGGGATCAAGGATACAAGTAGGAGGGTCTTGACAAGAAGAAGGACCACCTCTTCATTCAGAGATTGAAGTGAAGGAGATATTAGGGGAGAATGTCTGAGTGATATGAGATGAGGAGGTGGGGAGAAGGAAGGTCTCAGAAAATGGCCTCAGTTTGAGAGAGAGTGAAGTATAAGGTGTAGTCCTCAGCTGAAAGGGAAGAGAGAGTGAGTGCAGTTGGAAGTTTTTGTAACAAGAGTCTGGAGGATTGCTTATTAAGAATGTTGCAGAGGGAATTCCTTGTCAGGTGTGAGTTGGAATAGATGATCTACTGGGTCTCCTCAAACTCTGAGAATATGTGCTTCTATGTAATTTTTTTCTAACACTAGGAGAGTTCAGAAGCATTCTCCTAGTCCTCTGCTAGTACGCCCTTCCTAGCCCATGTCCTTTATAACCTTTCCCCCAATTGATGGGCACCACCCCCTTAGTTTCTAGGTTTTTTTTGCCACTGCAGAAAGAGATATATTGAGCATTTTTATTGTACAAATGTGTCTGTTTCTTCTTTCTTTGATCTTTTTTGGTGTATAGGCTTAGCAGTGGTATCACTGAGTCAAATACAGTTTGGTAGCTTTTGGGATATGGGTATAAGTTGTTTTCCAGAATAACTGGACCAATTCACACCTACCCCAGAGTACATTAATCTGCCTATTTTCCCACAGCCCCTCCAACATTTGTCAGACTCCTTCATTGACATTGCCAGGTAAAATGGGTGTGAAGTAGAATCTCAGAGTTGCTTTAATTTTAATTTCTCTATTAATGAGTTGAAGCATTTTTAATATGGTATTGATAGTTTGAATTTCTTCCTTTGAAAACTGCCTGTTTATGTCCCTTGATCATTTATCAGTTGAGAAAACCCTTTCATCTTTAATCTCTTCTTACTCTTCTTGTATCTTCTGGCACTGGCATTAGCATTGAGACTCTCTCCCTCTCTCTCTCTCTCTCTTTCTCTCTCTCTCTCTCTCTCTCTCTCTCTCTCTCTCTCTCTCTCTCTCTCTCTCTGCCATCCTCACTGAACAATCTGTCCTCATTGTACTTCATACTATTTCATATGAGCCTTTACTAGATCCTAATGGTTGTCATCCACCAACCTCCGTGTTATTTTCTCTTTTTTTCTCAATAGACTTTTACACTAGATTGATGATCTTCCTTTTCACCCCTATCCCCTACATCATACTTGGTGACTTCAGTATTTGTGATCATGACCCTTTTAACACTCTGTCCTCTTTCATCACCCTTCTCAACCCTTAGGACCTCCTTGTCCATTCTA